TCCCGTTATGGGACGGGAGGGGGGGGGACGTCGTCGGCCTCCGTTATGGGGCGAATTTCGGGGGGTTCCCGAATTCCCGGGGGGGGTCCCGGCGGGGGGGGCGGCGGAGGAGGAGGGATCGGCGCCCCCCCCGGAGGACAGCGGGTGTACAAGCAGTCGATGGCGCAGCGCGCCCGCACGATGGCGCTCTACAACCCCATCCCCGTCCGCCAGAACTGCCTGACCGTCAACCGCTCCCTGTTCCTCTTCAGCGAAGACAACGCGGTGAGGAAGTACGCCAAAAGGATCACCGAGTGGCCATATCCTCGCGGGGGGGGCGGGGGGGGATGGTGTCCCATAGGGTGTCCTATAGGGCGTCCCATAGAGCATCCTGTAGGGCATCTTATAGAGCATCCCATAGGGCGTCCCATAGGGCATCCCATAGAGCGTCCTATAGAGCATCCCATACGGCGTCCTATAAGGCATCCCATAGAGCGTCCCATAGGGCATCGCCAAAAGGATCACCGAGTGGCCATATCCTCGCGGGGGGGGCGGGGGCGAAGGGCAGGGTGGTGTCCCGTAGGGCGTCCTATAGGGCATCCCATAGGGCATCCCGTAGGGCGTCCTATAGAGCATCCCATAAGGCGTCCCATAGGGCGTCCCATAGTGTGCCCTATTGAGCATCCGATAGAGTATCCTATAGAGCAGCCCATTGACCACGCCATAGGGTATCCTATAGAGCATCCTATAAAACATCCCGTAGGGCAGTATATGGGGCCTTCTATGGATCATCTTATTACATAGAGCATCCTATAGAGCATCCCATAGAGCATCCCATAGGGCATCCTATAGAGCATCCTATAGAGCATCCCATAGAGTATCCTATAGAGCATCCCATAGAGTATCCTATAGAGCATCCTATAGAGCATCCTATAGAGCATCCCATAGAGCATCCCATAGGGCATCCCATAGAGCATCCCATAGGACATCCCATACAACACCCCATATCCCAGCCATATCCTGTATGGAGTGCATGTGGTGGGGACCTGTAGGGGATTTTATATGGCACCCCATAGAGCATCCCACAGAACATCCCATAGAGCAGCCCATAGAGCATGCCATAGAACCCCCCATAGGACACCCTATAGGACACCCCATAGAACGCCCCATAGAACCCCCCATAGAGCACCCTATAGGACACCCCACAGAAGACCCCATATCCTCCGTGCGCTGCGTGGGGCGGCAGTGAGGGGTTTGGCCCCATAGAGCATCATCCTATATCCCAGCCGTGGCCGCGGCTGTGCCATAGGGACGGCTGTGCCATAGCATTGGTTGTGCCATAGTGAAGGCTGTGCCATAGCCAGGGTTGTGCCATAGCATTGGTTGTGCCATAGCCATGGCTGTGCCATAGTGATGGTTGTGCCATAGCATTGCTTGTGCCATAGCATTGCTTGTGCCATAGCATTGCTTGTGCCATAGCCGTGGCTGTGCCACGGTGTTGGTTTGCCATAGCGTTAGTTGTGCCATATCCCATAGCTGTGCCGTAGCCACGGCTGTGCCATAATGGCTGTGCCATACCCACAGCTGTGCCATACCCATGGCTGTGCCATACCCATAGCTGTGCCATACCCATGGCTGTGCCATACGCCCTGGTTGTGCCATAATGGCTGTGCCATAGCCATAGCTGTGCCATACCCACGGCTGTGCCATACCCATGGCTGTGCCATACCCATGGTTGTGCCATAATGGCTGTGCCATAGCCATGGCTGTGCCATACCCATAGCTGTGCCATACCCATATCTGTGCCATACCCATGGCTGTGCCATACCCATAGCTGTGCCATACCCATAGCTGTGCCATACCCACATCTGTGCCATACCCATAGCTGTGCCATACCCACAGCTGTGCCATACCCATATCTGTGCCATACCCATATCTGTGCCATACCCATAGCTGTGCCATACCCATATCTGTGCCATACCCACGGCTGTGCCATACCCATGGCTGTGCCATACGCCCTGGTTGTGCCATAATGGCTGTGCCATAGCCATAGCTGTGCCATACCCACGGCTGTGCCATACCCATGGCTGTGCCATACCCATGGTTGTGCCATAATGGCTGTGCCATACCCATATCTGTGCCATACCCATATCTGTGCCATACCCATATCTGTGCCATACCCATGGCTGTGCCATACCCCCTGGTTGTGCCATAATGGCTGTGCCATACCCATGGCTGTGCCATACCCCCTGGTTGTGCCACGCTGTTGGCTGTGCCACCCCCACAGCAGCACCAAACCCCATCCCCCCCCCACCCCTTCCCCCCCCCATCGCCGACCCCATCGCGGTCGGAGTTCAGCTTTGCTGCCACTTAACGAAGGAGGCAATGGATTAATTAGCGAACGAAGGCCGGCCGCCCCGCGCGTTTTCCTTCACTCGGCCGCACTCCGTTCGAATACATGATCTTAGCCACCATCATCGCCAACTGCATCGTGCTGGCCCTGGAGCAGCACCTGCCCGACGACGACAAGACCCCCATGTCGGAGCGGCTGGTGAGGGGGGGGCTGCCCCTGGGGGGGGGGGGCTGCGCGGCCCCTTGGGGTGGGGGTCCCCGCTGTGCCTCTGGGGGTCCCAGCTGCCCCACTGGGGGTCCATCTGCCCCATTGGGGGTCCATTCCCCCATAAGGGGTCTGTCTCCCCCATAGGGTAGGGGCTGCAGGCCCGATAGGGTGGGGGTCCCGTCTGTACCTCTGGGGGTCCCAACTGCCCCCTTGGGGGTCCATTCCCCCATAAGGGGTCTATCTCCCCCATAAGGGGTCTGTCTCCCCCATAGGGTGGGGGCTGCAGGTCCCACAGTGGGTGGGGGTCCCCGCTGTGCCTCTGGGGGTCCCAGCTGCCCCATTGGGGGTCCATCTCCCCCATAAGGGGTCTGTCTCCCCCATTGGGTGGGGGCTGCAGGTCCCATAGGGTGGGGGTCCCGTATGTACCTCTGGGGGTCCCAACTGCCCCACTGGGGGGAGCTATAGGTCCCACAGGGGGTTGGGGGTCCCATCTGCCCCATTGGGGATCCATCTGCCCCATAAGGTGTCTATCTCCCCCATAGGGTGGGGGCTGCGGGTCCAATAGGGGGGTGGGGGTCCCATCTGCCCCATGGAGGGAGCTATAGGTCCCACAGGGGGGTGGGTGTCCTATCTGCCCCATTGGGGGTCCATCTCCCCCATAAGGGGTCTATCACCCCCATAGGGTGGGGGCTGCAGGTCCCATAGGGTGGG